CATCTTATTTGCAAAGGAATCGATCAAGGTTACATCCATTGGATTTATCATGGGAATATATTTTTTTAGCTGCACATTTTATATGCTACCATATGATTTAAGATTGCAGTCATATAGCATATAACTGCACTTTAATTTTGCTGTTGAATCCCATAAACAAGTGTAGCCATACTTTTCCATACATTGGCTAAGGCTGCACATTTTTCACCTATGACTGCAATTTTTTTTGCAGCCAAAGGTCAAAAATGTTGTGGTGCCACAACTTTTTGTCCTCCTACCAATTCATTTTAGAGTTGTCAACATGTAGGGTATACATTAATTTTGAAGTATCCAAATCCGAATCCTATTAATAATTATAATATTCAAATCTATAATTATCTGAATATTTTTAAAAATTATTATCTTAACTTGAACCCTAATGTATTTATATATCCACTATCCGATAATTATCCTAACTCATTTAAAAACTCGATTATATTAAAAAAATTATTAAAATGCTCAATCTTCTTCCTTTTTATCTTCTGCTGTTGGTTGATGTTCCTCATTATAGCCATAACTTGATTTGTTGCAACTTTTACTTTGAAGAAATCTAATGCACACTCTCAGTTGAGTATCCAGTTTCATTCCATCCTTTGTTGCTTTTCCTAACTTATGCCCGACACTCCTCTTTCTATTTTATGTTCTTTTTCTTCTCCCTCCTCTCCCCATTCACTTGCACATCTCGATCAACTCTTCCTCTCCCTTGCTCGCCAGCATCAAGGTTGCTCTTCTCATTTAGCATTTTTTTTCTTTCTCATTCTCCAGCATCAAGGGCTACCTTTTTCATTTAGCTTTTTTTTTTTTTCCTTTTTCATCACCAGCATCATGGGTTATTCTTTTACATAATTTTATAGATTTAAAGTAAAAAATAACTATTTTAATAATTAATATTAAAATATTTTTTTATATGTTATTATTTATTATTTTAAAAGATAAAGTTAAAAAGTTAAAAGTTTACAATTAAAAAAATGTAAATTTATGCAATTTTTATATATAAGGGTAATTTTATAATTTATACTATATTCTTAATAAGTGTTTTGAAACCAAATATTATAATGCAATCTTCTTAATAATCACATTATCTACAATCATCACTTTTCTATGTTATTCAAATGCTGTAAAGTTATCTTTTCAATCATGACATTCCCAACAATCAAGCACTCGGTAATCATATTTCTAACAAAATACCAAACACCACATAAATGAATATTGTTTATATTCTATAAAGAAATTTACAAATTAGTGTCCAAAGTTAGATAACTTAGTTGTCACAATATTAATAATATGCAACTTCAACAATAATGTAATCCAATAAAACTAAATGAATGTTTATGTTCTAGAAAGAAATTTACAAATAAGTGTCCAAAGTTAGGCAACTTATTTGTCACAATCTTAGTAATGCATTGACCAGCATTGGAAATTTATTATTAGTGTAGTACAATTAAT